GGATGCTACCCTCATCTTTACTTTTGGTTGTAGCTTTTTTAGTCGGACGTCCCAGTCTCCTTTTAACAACCTCTCTTTCTCCTTCCGTAACCTCGAAATTTCACTTTTCGTAAAACCTCTATTTGCTATTCAATTTATATATTCATAGGCACCGAAAATTTCTTTTGTCTCTTCTTTGGTAAATAATCTCATGAAAAACTTGTATTACCGTTTAACCTCAAAACATACAATTTGGACATTGTTTAAGGAAAGCTTGTCGATATACCGAACCCTAAAAACGAACGAAAAATGTTCTTCCAAACTTTAAACTTGTTGCTCTGTTTTACTTCGTCATGTTTTTAACAAATATTTTGCTTTATTTTAGGTAAAATGGATGATGTACTGGATAGTTTTTGCGCTTTTCACATGTGTCGAAACAATTACAGATGTTTTATTTAGCTGGTATGATTTATTGTTCCTTAAAATTTAACACATATTTTTTTGAACCAGTGTCTTTTTGACAGGTTTCCTTTCTATTATGAGATTAAGATAATAATTGTGATATGGCTTTTATCCCCTGCGACCAAAGGTTCGAGCATTCTTTATCGAAAGTTTGTTCATCCTACTCTTGTCAGCAAGGAACAGGTAAAGGGAGTAAATTATTTGAAGTCTTGACTTACTTTAAACTACAGTAATAAAAAAAAAACAGTCGTATTTGATAAAACTTTAATGTGATATTAAATAAAGATACGAATTAGGTACTAGGAAGTTATGGTTTTAAAAGGCAAATTATATACAGTAGAAACTTGATAACGTAAACCTCGATAACGTAATAACCTCTATAAATTCATAAAATTTTGTGTTCCCTTGTCCTCGGAGTCCAAAACCTCTATTATTTAAAATAAAAACCCCCTATAACTTAAACGAATAATTTGGGCATCGCACTTCAGTAAGCAGTGAAAAGTCTTCTATGAAAAAGACGAAGAATTGCTGAATTCCTAATTTAAAAAAATGTTTGTTACATGGTTTAGACAGTGTAGAAATAAAAACGTTAGTGTTAGTGGACCTATACTAAAGGAAAAAGCTGAAGAGTTACTGGAAATCCATAAATTTAAAGCTTAATTTTAAACCCTTAGTAAGTAAAAACCTCAATAATTTAAATTATTTTACGTTTCCCTTGGTCTTTATCTTATCGAGGTTCTACTGTATTTTTTTATGAAGTAATAGATTACGCACCAGGGGACGAAAGTGGCCGAAAACGAGGCTGACAGGCACGCGGTATGAAGTGACTAGGGTTGCCACCTTTTCAGGCTTTACATAAAGTATTTCTCGACTGAAAGGTTAAAAAAAAAGTACTCGCCATAAAAATAAAGTATTTTATTTTTTGTTTTTAAAAACCTATTTTTTGTTGCACCTAGCAGCCACTAACAAATTGCTGTCGCTCTTAAATACATTAATAGCCTCTAAACATGGCAAACAAAGATTTAAGTAAACTAAAAGTTCATTTTTAATTAATTTTAATGAAGCTTTATTCCTGTCGTCCCGCCACTTTGCGTTCATAACAGAGAGTACTCTTTCTGTAAATGCTGAAGTGACCGGAACGGACAGCAAAAGTAACGCTACTTTCAACAAATTTGGGAAATCAGGTTGTTCTGTAAATATGGCTTGCCATTTTTCTGTGCAATATTATTGATGTAAAAGTACTCTGAATTTCGAATAATCGCTTACAAAATTACGATGTTTACTTAAGGCCTTAAATAAAATATTTTTGCGTACTTTATGTGTCTTGTAAAGTATAACGTACGCACAGTCGAAATAGAGTGCAATACTTTATAATAAAGTACTGGTGGCAACCCTAGAAGTGACCTACTTTCATCCTGTGGTGTGTTTACTATTTTTCGTTCCGTTGGGCGTTTTCGTCCCTCTGGAAATGTACTTTTCTGCTTCGCATATTTAGACGACTTTTTATCATGCGGCAGAGATTTGACGAAATATTAGATGACGCATCAAGGGGTGAAATTGGGACTTCGACTCGGATGGCAAACTGCACGCGGTATGCAGCAACCCACTTTCATCCCAAGGTGTATATACTATTTTTCGTCACGTATGTGACAGAAGTTTGAACATTTACGAAATTGTCTAGTTTGGGCCCATTGTATCTGCGCATATTTCGGCTTCGCATAAAGCGACGAATGATTGAACTTTCAGTAGAAATGTGACGAAAAAATCTTATTCATTAGTCGATCTTAATCTCGATACTTCTTTGTCATTCACAACTAACCCGATTAATAAAATTAAGACAGTTCTAGCGAAAACAATAAACATTATTTCAGGAAATCGATGACTATATATCAAAAGCCAAAGAGAGAAGTTACAAGCAGGTTCTTGACTTGGGCTCTAAGGGCGTGAATGTGCTCATGCAAACGGCGATCAAGGTAAGTCCTTATAATATTCCGCTCTTGATAAAAATCATCCCCTTCTCTAAACACGCCACAACGAGCCGCTCGCCAACAGAGATTGAAAAATAACAGTAAATAATTAACAAGAAGTTATTTGATACTGTAAAGTACAGTGACTGCATATTAGTTTGGGGCAACGCCCACCAGGGATGTGATACCTCAATGAGAAGCTCATGGGTAGAAACTCAAAAAAATTCGAAAAACCTAACCTAACTTATGCAATCTAACCGCAATTGTTAATATCGTATCTCAATCATTATTTATTGAACCGTACCAGTTAGTGCTGTTATTCATGGTCTTACCAACGAGGGATTAATCATCTTGGTGAGCGTTGCCCTAAATACTAAAGTCCTGACAAAGTCTAAATTTGCATAAATATATATCAGGAGCCTTCCATAAAGTACCAATGTAAAAGTGGTCAATTGTATGGGATTGTCTAAGAGATTATTGTTCATTTAACTAAATTAGTTATTATTTTCTCTCTGTATTGGTACATTCTTTTAACCTTGTGCACTAAACCTTTCCATATTAGGCATATTGTTTATTTCTTTGTCATCTAACACGAGCTTTTTGTTTTTATTTTTATTCCACTACTATCTCTGAACGCACATTGTCCATACACAAACTATGCTAGAACTTTGGTTTGTCGGAGGCGTCATCATATCTAATACCTTCACTGTCCGAATCCGCGCTGTCGGATTCGACCCGTGGAAGGGCTATGCGCGACGAGGGTGACGGCCAAGCGTCACGTAACGCGGTGGTCGTTCGATCGCAGTCCGCACATCAAGTCACCATGATGACGATAGACGAAAGACCGTCGGAAGATGGCGACAGTAACGACGACAGTGAAATGTTGCATTACGAAAACACGCGACCGAAAGCTACGAAAAAGGCTGTAAAAGAACAAAACCATGGTGTTTACTCGTCTGACGACGATGAGGTCGTGGTGGTGGATAAAAAGGTAGCCAAGAGTTCTAGAAATACGAAAGCCAAAGGCAAAACGGTAACGAAAAGGGCCACAAGAAGGACCAAAACTGAAATCATTGATGGCGACGATTGAGCGAACGTGAATCTCTTTTTTATGAGAAAAAAAATATACTAGTTGTAGTGCTCTTTATTATGAGATATAAATAAACGAATATGAAAAACGTGATTTGACCAAGTCGAGAGGAAAATGTCTGATAGATATCTTCGTTAATTACTACATAATGCAGATACCATTGCTATTTTATATTATCGTATTTTAACGTTTCTATTTCATTTATTTGGTTTAACCTTTGTCTTTTGGGTTTATATTATTAACAAATATACAACTACTAAAATTCATATTTTCTTCTATAAATGAATATAAAAATACCCATCTACGGTTTATTTAACATAAGTAAATAAAATCGTAATTTGTTTTCTATATATCTTATGTGTGATTTAGACAATTAAATTAGCTGTAGTAACTTGTTGGTTTTTAAACTTCACTGGTTTAGTGTATGTTAAAAAAAAATATTTGTGTGTTGATATTTTAAATTAAAGCAAATTGTGTGCCTTTTGTAAATTTCGAGTGTGTTTCTTATTAAATAAATATACTTTTTGTTTATTTTTGCTTTTTTTTACACATTTATGTTTTACTGCGATTCTTATATAATTTTTATTATTTTTCTTTGCTTTCTTTTTTAACTCAGTTTTTACTAAATCGTCGTAAAATTTATTAAGGAGACATGATGGCGTATGTACCGTAACCAAACCATACTTTATAACGATGAGGTGTTTGCACCATGAATTTGGAATAAAAAAAATAATAAGGGAGCTTACTTTTTGCACTTACAAACTAACAGATCTTGTGCACTAAAATGAATGAGGTAAGTGGTTTTATTACACAACTGTTGAAATAACCGTAAATCATTCATCGAAATATTAAAAAAAATCGTTTTCTTTCGTTAAAGTATTGCTAAATGTGGTTGAATGAAGGCTACACATTAATGGCAGACTGAGAACCTAACATAGGAAAACATGTAATAAAACAAATGCTAAAATTTTATTGGTTATTAGGTTTTACCTGCGGTTTCGCTTACTTTGATGTTCTAAATACGTGTCAAAAATCGTCGACGACTAAATAAAACTAATTTTTTTAGCCCTCGGGAACAGTATTTTGTTTCTGAATAAAAGGTATCCTATGTACTTTTCTGTGCCCATGACAATGTGTCTACAAAATTTCATAATGATCGATTGAGTAGTTAAGGCGTGAAACCGACTACATTGAACTAATTTTTCTGCCCCTTAGGAACTGTATTTTTTTCTAGATAAAAGGTACCCTAGGTCCTTTTCTGTACCCTTGACAATGTGTCTACAAATTTTCACGATGATCAATTGGCTAGCTAAGGCGTGAAATTGACTACATAACAGTTTTTTTTAACCCCCGGGAACAGTATTTTGTTTCTGGATAAAAGGTACCCTATGTACTTTTCTCTACCCCTGACAATGTGTCTACAAAATCTAATGACTCGATTGGGTAGTTAAGGCGTGAAACCGACTACATTGAACTAATTTTTCTGCCCCTTAGGAACTGTATATTTTTCTAGATAAAAGGTACCCTAGGTCCTTTTCTATACCCTTGACAATGTGTCTACAAATTTTCATGATGACGATTGGGTAGCTAAGGGGTGAAATCGACCACATAAAACTAATTTTTTTCTATCCCTCGGGAACAATATTTTTTTTCTGGATAAAAGGTACCCTATGTGCTTTTCTGTACAATATGTTCTTGAAAATAACCGTCCGCTCGAAACGATTCGTCGACAATATCCAATAAAGTATTGAAACAATTTTAGTGTTTGTTTTATTACATTTATTAATTATATTATTAAGGGCGGCCATCACCTTTTGAAAAATTGAATGTGGTGTATGAAAATTTGTACAAATATCATTAGCAACCTTTTAAATTTTTTTCGGGGATGTTGCTCTTTGCTGAAAAGAATTTAATCTGTGCTAGGTTTTCAATTCGTTGCTAGTATATGTAGGGTGTAACAAAAATGTTTTGAGAAAGTAATTTTTTTGATTATTTTGGATGTTTTTAAGTACCTATAGTCTGTTTTTGTTTAATTGGCGTGTGTTGTAATAAAATATTCAAGAGATTATTAGCTTTGTTCAAATAACTGGCATTGACACTCATAAGAGATATGATATAAACTCTATAGATAATAAATGTTATTGTGTCTATCTTTGTAGTTTTCAAACCTTTTTGAGCTTAATAGGTGTATTAATCGTGTTTCGTTTCAATGGTGCCTTAACGGACAATCCCGTCTAGGCGTAGACACGGGCGGTCAGTCGGTTACAGTTTTATTGCTTCACCCGTCACTTTAAAGAAAACAGAGTATAGGTAGATGTGCTAATTTATACATTTATAGCATTTCATGGGGTTATTAAATTTACAAGCATACTATGATTTGCTTTTATTGGAAAAATTATTGTTTCAAATTGGACAGAAATCTGTTTCTGATGGAATATTTTTAAAACTCCCACTTTCTAGCTAACTGGGGGCTCATTTTTCTTAACAGTTTTTTTTATTCGACTTGTTCCGTACACCCACACATTAAAATTCCTCGAATTTATTCCAAAATTATCAGCTTGTTTAAATGTCTTTCAAAGTTCGCGTAAGAATAAAAAGAATACAAAACCAATTCTTTTTTTATTACACATATAAAGCCTTTATTGTGTGTAAATCTTTTTGGCAACAAAAACTTTTTTTATTTTTTGAAGTGAAATTTCTTTACGCACGGTAGGGTAAGTTCGTTTCATGTGAGTTGCTATGTAACGAAAACATGCAACGGATGTCCCCGTTCTACTCGTCCACGTACTCGAGTTTGTAGTGGGGATCGCTTGAGCCGTGAGCGCGAATCAATGCAACGTTCGTTACAGGCAACTCCGGCATGTACAGTGTAAAATTTAAATTCAATGTGTACAAATAATACCATTAAACCAATTCCTTAATCCCTATCCCGGTATGTTTGTGTGTTGGAAGAAGTTTCACTTCAGTAACGTGTTGTATAATTACATGTCGATTTTTTTAATAACTGAGGTAATATTTAGAAAGGTTCTTATTACGTCAAAGACAAACATAACAGAAGCGAATAGAAAAAATACTTAAAGAGAATGAGTCACCGTATCCAAAAAATTGATCGGGGTAGTAAACTTTCTTTAGAGTTAAGTCTCATATTTTTTCCAGGGTGGAGGGGGCCTGGTGAACCAACTGCGCAGAAGCTACAGTTTAAGTGATTTGAGCGGAAGTCCTGACGATGACGCCGTTGTCGTCAAAGACGAAACGGATACTCGCGTAATGAAAAAGAAACGTGCCAGCCCCAGCAGGCATTCGTCGGAGTCGTCGTCATTATATTTTTCCGAAGTCGACGTAAGGAAGAATGTTATCATAAGTCAGGTGAAATCGACGGACGATATAAGTTCTGGGTATTCGAGTGGAGAGGTATTTGGTACGGTAAAAATGAGAGAGGGGTTGGTACGTAGTAGTTCCTTGAGCTCACCGAGGCCGCGTTCCATGCGGATAACCAGATCTACGACGGCTCCAAAGAAAACTAACACAATCACGGAGGGCGAGGTACGTGGAATTAATTATTATTTTAATTTTTTCAATCTTATAGGTACATACGAAGACTGTTCAAAAAGTATCGCAAATTTTGTGTTGTTTCAAAAATTATTTATTCATGATATCTGTTTTGTCCCCTTCAAAGTAATCCCCACTTGTGCCAATGTTTTCTCCCATCGAAGCACTTCAAAAAATCATTTTTGTGATCTTGTTCAGCTCCTCCTTCGATGCCGTCTTTATCTCCTTAATCGTAGCGTAGCGTCTTCCTTTCATAGATCTTTTCAGTTTCGGGAACAAGAAAAAGTCAAAGTCACAGGGGGCCAGATCTGGGCAAGACGGTGACTGCGGCATTATTAGTATGTTGTTTTTGGCCAAAAATTCGCGCACAAGCAACGATGCGTGAGGAGGGGCGTTATCATAGTGCAAAAGCCAATTTTTGTTCTTCCACAAATCCGGGCGTTTCTGGCGGATTGCTTGGCGCAAATTGCGCATAACTTGTAGGTAATATTCTTTATATTGACCGTTCTACCCTGTGGCAAGAACTCATGATGCACCACGCCCCTGCAATCGAAGAAAAGTGTATGCAAAATCTTCACATTCGACCTAACTTGGCGCGCTTTTTTCGGTTTTGGCTCGTGCGGCAGCTTCTATTGAGTTGATTGAGCTTTGGTTTCCACGTTATAACCATAAACCCATGATTCATCACCAGTTAAGACCCTCTGGGCCAATACGATGCTGTTACTGGTCGCAATTGAGCAATTTTGGTACGAATTTCACGGCGATCCGTCTCATGCCCAAATCGTTGGTAAACATCGAATGGCAGGAGCCAATCGATATGTTTAGGTGCTCAGCAGCTTCTTTAACGGTGATTCGACGATTGGTCTATACTATTTTCTTCACTTCATCAATGTTCTCGGCCTTCTGAGAACATTTTGTTCCATCGATTAACGTTGCTTCGGTTCAAGGTAGCTTCACCATATGCCACAGTCACAATTCCTTGATCCATTTCTTTGAATAGGCAAAAATCGAAGACTAGGCAAAACACGTGCAAGCAAAGCACCTGTCAAAAATTAACTGAACATTCAACATGGCGGAACTTGTTGGTATAAGTGAAAGACATGAGTACCAACATAACGCCACAAAAAAAATCTTAAATCAAATGTACGTAACTCGCTGAAATTCAAAATACTTTTTGAACAGCTGTCGTAATAATATTATAAACGAACGTGATGATGGATTGTCAAATCGAAATAATAATGTTTCGTGTTATTTTTATATAAATTCTTTAACCGTTCTACTCTACAAATTCGAGTGGGTTGAATTTAAATTAGAGATGCACTGGATAGTGATTTTGCCAGTTACTGAACAAAGGGGTACCTGGCAAAATCACTACGGTTAATGGTTCATGTCTTAGTTCTGGCAAGCTTTCCATTAAATAGTACATTCACCAACGTCCCAAATCACAGTAAGTCCCGTTCAAAAAGTCATTTAAACACTGAACCATTGAAATCTTAATTTTTGGTTGGCGGATTTTCAACGAGAGGGTTGAGTTGAAACCGTTGCAACGAGCCTATAATTATTAAAAGTCTGCAAAATGACAAAATTATACTAATAAGCTATCATTAATCGAAACTTGATACACCAACAGCGATAGAAATTGTTACAGTTGGGTCATACCGGTGTACTCTTGTTCAGGGGAAAACACAAAAACTATATCGAAATAATAAATTAATTAGTAATAGTAATCAACAAATAGTACAATTAGGACAAACGACCTATCCCAATACAATCTTAATTTCAATTTTTACTAGGTTTTTTGAGGAATGTTAGGCTTTGCTTAAAGGGTTTTTAGATGTTGGGTTGGTTTAGAACAGTTTTATGAAAAGGAGTTGATATTTTCGTATAGATGTAGATACGGTTGAGAAAATATATTCTACACATTCACCTAATTAAGCATTTTGGGTGAACGTATTGCCTATAAGGTCGTCAGTCTTAAGACTGATTGAACATGCACCTCCACTCTTTCATATCCTGAGCTAATCTTCGTATTTCCTTAATAAACATAAAATATCCCACATCTTTAACTATTTGCGAAATGTAATTTAATCTAGGAATATCCCACATCTTTAACTATTTGCGAAATGTAATTTAATCTAGGAATATCCCACATCTTTAACTATTTGCGAAATGTAATTTAATCTAGGCCTATTTTTACTCCTGTTAACTCCTGTTTCTGCTTTTAATATATCTTTGACTAGCCCTTTATTCCTGAGAAGGTGTCCTACCAACTTATCTCGCCTATTTTTTATTGACCTCGATATAATCCTCTGTTCTCCTATTCTTTCTAATACCTCTTCATTTTTAACTTTCTAAAGTCTCCACTCCAGAAGTCTCCAGTTTTTGGCCAACATATTTCACTAATGCATACTACATCTAATTCCAATCTGTTCATCTCAACATTCAAAATTTCTAATTTCTCTATATAATGCTCTGTTCTCCTATTCTTTCTAATACCTCTTCATTTTTAACTTTCTAAAGTCTCCACTCCAGAAGTCTCCAGTTTCTGGCCAACATATTTTACTAATGCATACTACATCTAATTCCAATCTGTTCATCTCAACATTCAAATTTTTTATTTTCCCTGCTTGGCACGTTGTCCCAACATTCCACGCTCCCACTCGTGAAATATTCCACCTGTATTGCCTTACTTAGTACATATATACCACAATTAGTTTCTATCTGGCTTAGTTTAAAACCAATTGCAAGTTTCAAATTTTCTTATAATTACTTGTACAACCTTTTCTTGGATGGTGATGATCCCTAAAACTCCCCCCCCCCTTCCCGTTGTTTGTCGTTCTTTAACTTTTTCCTTTTTTGTCTTTAATGGCAGGTAATTGATTTAATACAAATGATAAAAATTATATTGCCACTCATATAATTTGGAAACTACTACCATATAATTGTAAAAATACTATAGTATTAATTATAATATTGAATAAAGAAAATTAAACATTATTACATAAGAGTTTTGTAATTCAGAATGGCGTAACAAACGTTTTATTTTGTCGGATACAAATTTTAGGACAAGGATTTTTAAAAATAAAATTGTTGCTGACGCGGGAATTCTGCATTTGTTAACGCGTTTAAAGATACATCAATTGACGAAATTTCTGCAATACAAATAAGTTATTTTTTTGTCGCATATTATTTGCATTTTCCATTAGTTATCGTCTGTTTAAACTGACTTTGTATCTTTTACGCCAACATATGTAAGAACCTAATCAGGTGAATGTTATACGAAAGATTTCAAAATTTTTAATTTTCACGAAAAGTTATTAGTCTTACAATAAAGTATTTATTTAGGATGAATTGTTCGAATGTAATGTTGAAGAAAAATCGAGTTCTTCAAGCGACGGTGAATTTAGAGACTGCATGGAGGATGAGTCCGTCCAATCGCAAGACCAAAAGGTACCGTCCTTACCTTCTAAAGACTTACAATTAATTGAAAGTACCGAATTCCGAGAAATCTCTCTTTACCCCCAAAACAGTAGGTTGCTTGAGCACATGACCGTATTGGGAAAAGATTTGAAACAAGAAGAGAAGAGGGCCGGAAAATATAAGAAAAGAGCCGCCCCTCAGCCGCCTCCCTCTCAAAAAGGTGAAGGTGCATGTTTGCAAGTTCCGATTGTAACCGCTACTCTCATCCTGAAACCAGGCGAAATGAGACCGTTGGGACCACCCTCTGACAATTCTCAAACACCCTCTAACATTTTCATTTGTCACTCACCGAAAGCAAGACGACGTGGACATTTTGAAAATTCAACGTCAACGAGGACCAAATCGTCTTTTAACCGGCTGATGCCGAAAAAGCTGCTGTTTTGGCACCACAAAAGCGACACCGACCTGAAGGAGTCGCCGGAGGAGCCGAAACGTTGCTCGTGGCACGAACGTTCTCATCGATTTCTCGCGACTCACGGCCTCGGACATGTCAAAATGCTTTCAAAAAGTGACAACAATTTAAAAACTAATGTCTTCAACAGCCTGTCTCCTTTTGCTGAGGGTTCAACGGGTCCCCTGGTAACCGACAGCGATTAGTTTGTTTCTTCAGTCAAACAGGCATGCATTACAACCCCATATTTTGAATTTGTTGCTACCCCGCTCAAATAACAACGCTCTTGATGCTGCAATAACAGAACAGACTGAATGCGACCCTTTCGTTTCAGGGTGGCCACATTCATGCTTCCTGTGATTTCGCACTGAATCACCTTTTGTTTTTTGATAGGTGTGAAATTATTGTCGTAAAATAAACAAGAAGGTGGACGATAATATTGTCATATAGCACCTATTTTTCGAGGCCTTTGACAATAATATGAATAAAATAATTCGGTGTATTCTGTCGAAACTGCCAGACGCGGATTGCGATTTCGATCTTTTTGGATCTCATCAGCGCGTCGCAGGCAGCTCCGACAGAACACAGACCAACTTTTACCTGCTGTCTTAACAG